CAACAAAACCCACAACAGCTATAACAACAACAACGACAGCAAAAATATCTGCTTCTTCCGTTGCACTTACAGTTGCAAATACAACTCAACAACCACAACAACAACCACAGTCACAGTTACAACCACAACAACAACAAAATCAACAACAACAACCATTACAACAAAATTTACCTCAAAATTCCTTGCTGAAGATAGAACCATTTGTTCCTACTTTTAATACACGTTTACGTCGGCCTATTGGTCGCTCTTATAGTACATTAAGTTCAACATACATTAAGGCTGCAACTAATCTAAGCGGTCTACACATCGTCAAGAAAAATGAAGTTAGAAATGCAGGTTTAGTAGTGGGCGCTGCTATTGAAGTCGCACTGCCAAAAACAACACGAAACCCAGTTGGACACTTACGTAGCAGATATCATAATATTAAGACCATCACACGACAACGTTCTAAATCCACATCGTCATCGTCGGCGTCAGCATCAAACCGTTTAGCCGCTGCCAAAGGCAATAGCAACAATATTAGCCACAATAATACTAACGGCAATAATGTGTCTTACTCGAATAATGTCAATATTGTAACTGCAATCAATACCAATGGCGCAATTGTTACACCACAACCGAATGGCATTTGTCGCATAGCACGTCTACTCAAAGAACAAGAAAAATTACCGGATCGTATAAATTATGACCGTCGTGGACTTTCCGCAATTCCAATATTTGAAAATGAACCAAATCTGCGTTTGCTTTCATTGCAGCATAACTTAATCAATGTGTTCCATATACCAAAGGAAAGCACTGCCTTTTATATACCAGAAACTGTGACTCAACCAACTAAGCTGGATGATGTAGCCTATAACTGCAATTTTGGTCAGCGTTTAAATCGGCAAATCAATGCTAATCACCAACTAAGAACACAACATGGTAGTGTCAGCCGTTTTACTTTAGCATTGACTTCACCGAAATCGAGCAAGTCAAGCAATTCATTGGCAAACAAACAGAGTCCGACACAAATAAGAGCATTTCCAATACCGCCTCCACCACCACCATCTACACCCCCACCTTTAACAACCTATACAATACAGATTGGCAACAGTAACAATGCAAGCAGCATACATACAAATCAATTACTTAAACGTAACGGCATGTTGCAGCAACTAAAAAACAATGGCACACAACTAACGCCTTCGACGTACTACCATCAGCAGCAACAGCAACAACAACAGCAACAGCAATTGCAGTACCGGTTCGCTGCGTTAAAAAAATCGAAAAGTTTCGTAACTAACTATTCCAGGCACTTGCAAAGCATCAAAAGAAATTTACAGAAATCCGGTCTGGCAAAGGTCGATGGAAATGTATTCGCCACAAATGGTGGGACACAACTCAAAAGTTTCGACTCAAACGCAAGTGGCTTAACTTCAGATTCTGCATCAGCCTCAGCCTCAGCCTCAACTTTAATCATCAGTGAAAGTGGGGATGAAGAGCAACAAAGACAGCAACTAGAAATTAAAAACAAACAGTTAACTGCATCGTATGGAGCGATTTTTCACAACCTCGTATTTTTAGATTTGTACAACAATCAAATTGAGCGAATCGGCAATTTGGATGGACTACCAACATTATCGGTGCTGCTGTTAGGGAAGAACCGCATCACGGATATTAGTGGGCTGCATTCTCTACGTCAAACGCTACGTGTACTGGATTTGCATGGCAATAAAATTATAAGCATCAGCAATAAAATCAATTGTCTACTGGAGTTGAAATCCCTTAATTTGGCCGGCAATCAGATACGCCAAATCAATCATAATGACTTCAATGGTTTGCTCAATTTGAAGGAGCTTAATCTTAAGCGCAACAAAATCCGACGCATTAATGGACTTCAAGATTTGACAGCATTGGAGCGTCTTTGGCTGTGTCACAACGAATTGCAACGTGTGGAGGATATGACGAGCATAGCAAAAGCAGCCAATTTATTAGAGGTAACCATAGAAAATAATCCTGTGTCATTAGCTGGTGATTGTGTGTCATTCTTGGTAAGTTATTTGCCACATTTGCAGTCACTCAGTCAGATGCCAATTACGGAGCAGGTGAGACAGGCAGCAATGACTTGGCGTAAAAACAAGGAAATTTCAGATGCAAACAATGCAAGCCATTCAGCAGATGGCTTTACTAACATTCGCCGAGAGGAAGTAATATCGAATGCACGTACCAATTGGGAACTGCTGAGGTCACAGCAAACAGTGCATAATGTATTGCGGAATCAACGCTGCATGAAACCGAATGAGTTGGAAAAAATAAATGAATCAAATGAGATAAACACAGGCAGCGTTGAAATGCAAGAGTTAATAAAGTTGCCGCCAATACAACAAAACATATCGCAACCACAGCCGCAGGAACAACAAACAATACAAACCAATAGCACAATTGAGCAGAAGGAGAATAATGGGCGCTTATCACGTTCATCAGGTTCGAGTTTAGGTCCAAATGTGGACTCATCTTCTAGCTGCTACAGTACTGAAAACGAAGCGGAACAATCAAACAACTCTACGGAGAAATCGGGGTCCAAAAATAAAGGTAAGAAACAAAACAATACAGAAAGCTTAACCGATCAAAAGCAGCAAATTTATAAATTAAAACAGAAGAATTTAGTACTAAAAACGGATAGCGATATTTTAACTAAATCCGTTGAATTAAAGCAGCATCCCAATACTCCTGCAACACCAACGAAATCCAATAAGTATACTTCTGCTAATACTTCTGAAAATTCCACAATAACTGCAACTACAACAAATGAGAAATCAAAAGCTCCACCGCAGTTAACCACGTTGAATTCCAATCAAACAACTAGCAATTTATCAGCGCGCAGCAACTCAAATATAAATCTAACAGTGCTGCCACAAACAGATATGGCAGTTGCAGCGGTAACAGCAAGCAACGTGCCACGCACAAAAACAAATACACAATCAAATAGTCAGCCTTATCCTTCAGTGCCTACTCCACCAATTACCGTCAACAGCAACATATTAAACTTAGGATTGCCAGCAACAACTACAGCAACTACTAACGTTGTAACTACTCCTGTTGCCACAACCGGCACATGCAAACGCTACATGCCAGGCAGCTTAATGAGATCGCAAACTATAGCCAGCAGTAGCAGCAACAGCAACAGCAACAGCAGCGCCAACAATGCACTACAAGCTGCCAGTAACGGGTATGGTAAACACTCCAACATTGCCAAATTGAACGCAGGATTACAAATACCAACAAAGCAAAACACTGCCAACAATTCACACACAACAAATGCAACAACAGCATCCAATGTTACAGCCACGCCCACCTACACCACTACAACTGTAACCAATAATAAAATTACGCCAGCAACAAATTCGACAACAACAGCAACTACTTTGGCGACTGCAACTGCGACCGGACCTGCTGTAGTCACAACGAGCACTAAACACGCGGATAGAGAACGCGACCGTGAACAGGGCGGCGACTATCTGATCGAGATTTGTGGTCGTTATCTGAATATTTATGGTCAGGGCGCTCTACGATTTATAGACAAGCAATGGAATTCGACAAAGGCAAGTGATGTCCATACATTAAATTTTAGTTACATTAATTTTGACAGTGTTACGACAGTGTTGCCTCGTATTAAGTTTCGTTTTCCTAATGCTGAAAACTTTGTATTCCGCGAAACGAACATCAGTTGCCTGGGTCAGTTGAACGCGTTAGGTGAGTTGCAGGGCATCACCTCGTTGTGCATTGACCCGGAAGGCAACCCAGTCACAACAAAGTATTTGTGGCGTCAGTATGCTGTGTATCGGTTGTCGCATTGGGGTCTCAAGCAATTGAACGGTGTCGAGGTAACAGAGGCGGATATCGAGAAGGCAAATATCATATACGCTGGCTTGTCGGATTTAGTGTTATGGTCGATGCCGGAAGTTATGCTCCAGCCATTGTTGGCACGTTTGCGTTTGGATGAAACGTGTACAGCAAGTAAAATGTCACCCAAAGAATGGCTGGCGAAAGAAGAAAATAAGTCGCTACGTTTGGTTGTAGGCAAGGAAGCATTGCAATGGAAAAAATCTAACAACACCAACAATATCAGCAACAATGCCAACAACAGTAGCAACAATCACAGTAATGCAAACATTATTTTTGGTCCACAGCTAAACACGTGCGATATTGTGTATCCTATGCTGTGTAGTGCTGGTAATGGTGTTGCTGGTGTCATTAATGTTGGTGGTACGTCAAATTCAACAATTACCGCACCAACAACAACTACAGGCGCAACTACAACAACTTCAGCTGCAGCTGCAGCTGCAGTTGGAGCACTTGTAACTCAAAACACTTCCGCACTTAGCACGCGTGAACGCGGTAAAATACATTTTGCGTTATTGCTGGAAAATACATGCAATGCAATTGAAAAACTTCACAAGCTGGAAACTTTATGGCCAAGTCTTCTGTTGGATATTGTGCGCAACACGTTGCTCGATTATTCGCAAATGGACGTTTATGTGTGTAATTTAATGGATGAGATTATGAAGTGAGAATGATTAGAGGCGCGACCATGTACGAATAATACATATCTATTAAGAATATTAATTCCCGGTATCATTTCGAGCCACGTTCATACAATATTCCATATACTAATCGAAATGGTGGCGTAGAGGATGCGTTCTATTACAGAAATTCATCATTGCAGTAGCAACAAATCCAATTAAAATGAATTCAACAATTTTTTAGCAAAATTTTGATATCTACTTAAATACAACTTTGTATGTACTTTTTCTTCCTGTTTTTGACTAATATGTACTTTAGATTTAAATAATTATATATAGTAGAATAAAAATGTTTAAATAACTTGAACAATTTATTTTTAAAATATATCATAGATTTTATTATTATTAAATAATAGGCTATTAATGCACCCCAACCTAAAAGTTCTATTGTGCGCCTAAGAGCACAATTAAAATAATTCCAGACTATAAATCTCGTAATTGCTGAGAGCTTAATTTTACCTATTTGATTTGGTACTAAGATTCCACTTCCAAGGTAATCAAGTCTAAGTCTTGCCACCGCTGGACAATTGCATAGAATACGTTCTGATGTTACCTTCTCCTCATTACAGAGTCGTCAATAATTACTTTCTCCCACACCTATATTCTTCATGTGATAATTGAGTCTACAGTAAAAAGTCCTGTAAAAAGTTCACTGAAGAGTTTAATATCGTTTCTGCTAAGGTTAAGGATAGCTCCAACTTTGATGTGTTCAGGATTAATGAATCTTCTTGACTGCCGCATGCCTGTTTGGGCTCTCCAGTGTTCAAGTAGATTTTGTTTCTCCCGTTCATATAATAAGTTATTTGTGAAGCTATTTGTTACCCCGCTGAAAGGCACTGGATCAATGAAAGGAGAACATGCTAGGGAGTCTGTTATTTCATTGCCCTCATGCACTTCATGTTTCGGTACCTACATAAGAGTACCATAGTTCCTCGATGTTAGAATATTGAGAAGTTGAAAATAAATCAAATAACTTTGATTGCTGTGAGGAGTGTCCTAAACATTTTAGAGCTGCTTGGCTGTCCGCAAGAATGCATATTTTGGTACCTCGGGTGTTCCTGCGTAGGCACTCTCTCGCACATAGCTCTAAAGCATGGACCTCTGCCTAAAAAGTCGAAACGGTGATTGCTTTGCAGAATCATAGATGATATCATATATCATATCGAGTTGCACTTTCTTAAGGTAAGTTATTATAAATTTAATCAAAGAAATTATACAGAACCAGATGTTGCTCAAGCTATTCCAGAGAAAACTTTGAAGTAAGTTGAAATTTGAAATATCTACAGACCTTTATCTCTACGATTAGTTATGACTACTCCTCACAGTTGTCCATATTTTCAGAAAATAGCAAATATGAATATTTTGTAATTATATTTTCTCTTATGTTATAAGATTACAACTTGCTTACTACGGTTACATTTTAGACTCTTTGAGATAGAGATTCCAAATAATAATGATGAATATTATTTATGTTAGGAATTCTCTTTGTCGGCTCTATTATTTTACAGAATTCCAGGTATTTTATTTTTAGTACATTTACTAACATTATTTATTCGGTGTTACTGATAAATTTTTTCATTTCTATTTTAAATTCCTCTTAAGCTCTCTCTTAAGCTTAGAACGGCGCTACTTCTTTGACTTGGATATTCGTCATAATATAATAACAGATTTAATTATATTATATTTTTTATATATAATTAAAATTTATATGATATTTTTGTGAAGTATTGAATTTTGCTGTAATGTTATATACCAAAGAAGAAGGAAAGTTTCTACTTACCTATCATATGTAGAACTTCATAAGGAAAACCTGAATTTTTGAACTGAGCACAAGGCCCTTTTTTATAATAAATTAAAATATATTTTAATATCTTTTAGATATTTTTAAAAGTGCCATGTTGGATATGATTCACTTATGTAGAGAAGACTTCAAAATTTCTTTCTTTTCTCAAAAAAGATTGGAAGCATGGAAAAAAAGATAATTTTAAAGAATTAATATTCTTGATTATTGAATCTTTCATTGAAGGCTATAATATAAATTTTTGCTTTTGTCCATTTATTTTAATTTATCAATTTACTTAAATGTTGACCCTGCTGCACTGATTTATTCCATGACCACAATCTTTACTGCTCCCTGTCCTTGCTTAATTATGGCATTGAGTGCGATAATTATATGCTGCTACTTAAGCCTACAAAAGTAAACTCTGATAATTCAGTCTGAGTAATTATTATTTTCTACTTTTTTCGCAACTTTCTGAATATAAAATTTTAAGGGTTACATATATTTTTTACAATTAATCAAAAGTTATCGGCACAACAGTGTGCATATGAAATAGGTTTCTCATTTATTATTGTTCTCATTATTATCTTTGATGGTCATTAACGAAACTCTTTGCACTGCAGTGATAACGATTTCCATGGTAATTACAGCTCAGATACTGTGTTATGTGCATAAATAATTGACTTACCATAATTTTCTTTTTTATTTGCATAACCTATAGGAGGGCAGGACATTGACAATGGCAGACTTGTTACCAGTTAAAACCATTTTGGAGTATTAATTAAACGTGATTTTTGGTTAATTTTAACTCGTAAAATATTAATTAAAATATGTGGGCATATTCATTGGTTACTCTTAATACTTACACATAATTTAATTAAAGTAATTATGCATTTGCATTTATAGCGAAAAACTCATTCGAACGGAATTTCCCACAACTATAAAATTCAAAGTCAATAAAGTGTAACGAACTTAGGTACTCATAAAAACTTATTTAAAACACATTTTATAATTTAAATCATTCAAGTTAATTTTATGGTTAATATTAGTAAGATTAGTTTTTTGTGGCTTAGTTTTTAGACAGTATCACAACTCGCAACACTAAATGTTACATTGTGGTAACGACAATTTTTTATTTCAACAATTTAATTTAAAACTATATATATATATATTTATAACAAATACTATATTATATATATATGTACAGTCTATGGTTTATAAAAAAAAATTAATTTGAGTTTAATATCATAAAATGTTATTGATCGTAAAATAATATTTTTTAATACTAATTTAATTTATTTATTTTATAGGTTTTTGTGGCAGACTTTAAACGTTACGTGTCAAAATTCTCTATACCAAACTTTTTTCGTTCACTTTTGAAGTCACGCTGTGAGTTGAGGATTTGGGCCACATCAGCTTCATCGATTGTACCTTTAAATATTAAAGGAAAGGGCCACTCATGACATATTGTAGGTCCATTGTAATTCCTAAGTGTATCGATTAACGTATCAAGTCGTTGCACTTCCAGTAAATCTGCATTAAAATCTCTTACTTCATCTAAAAGTTGGGTTACATTTGATTCCAATACCTAAAATATAAAAATAATAAAATTAAATAAAATAAATTTCAAAGAACTCATATATGACTAATAACTTTTTTGTTTTCAAAAACACTAATTTTGTTTCTATTGTTGTTATTTTTTAAAATTTAATATTATATTTAATTGTAAATCAGGTTTGTTAATGAAAGAATATGATACATTTGCTTTAATACTTTATTTAGCATGACTCTTAAATATAATATATATAGGTTAATAAAGACACTACCCAGTGGGAAATCGATCGTTCACTTATTCTCTTCTTTTATTTTAAAGACATTTGCGAACTACCTGAGAAACAGGACCACAGAATCAATGAATATGAATCCCTGTATTCAAACCTTGAAATTCAATGGATGAAACTGATTCGATCGTATAGTTTTGTATAAAATATTTATGATTTAGCTGCATTTGCTTTGTTTGAGTTTAATTCATATTAAAGATTTGAGAAAGTTGGTTCGTACGCTAAAAAGAAAAGTTTTTACATTTGTATTGTTGGGTTTTGCTCTCTTGTATTCCTTAAAAATATATTATCTCTCAATTAAAATCAAAATTTTAAATAATGATATATAACCTAAATTGAAGACAATAGAAAAAAATAGGCATCATAGCGGTTGTCTATGAAGACGCCTCAAACAAAATATACAAGTCATGTGTCCGACAAGTACCAACTTATGTGGTAGAGATTAGAGCATTCATCATAAATACGCAGTAGATATTAAAATCAATATAAACTTTTTTGTTTTTGTTTTATCATATGACCAATTTGTTAAAATTATAAATATTACATTATAGAAAAAAGTCTCCAGAAACAAATCTCCAAGAAGATTGTCGAAATATTGACACATAATGTATAGATCAGGATAAATTCCATTTTTCTATTTTTTACACTTAATAAGTCTGTGGTCAAATATAGTCTTATATATGGTAAATAAATATTACAGTTAATTGTGGAGTGCCAGATTTGAAGACGGGAAATTTTTATTGTGTCTCAGTGTATATTTTATATAAACAATGGGACCTCCATTGCATATTTTCTTAAGTTTGATGATGTCTCACATATGTTATATCACATATCTACGATATGTCATCAAATTATTTCTATTGTATTAAAAGAATACTACTTTCATATATGCATATTTGTAAAATGTAAATAATGTAAATAATACTAAGTATTATTTATACTGAAAAATTATGTCTTCATGTCGATTAATTTTTAAAACCAGTTTTCAGTGGTCTTATTATTTTCATTCAATTATGCCAACCATTCTTTTGGCATTAATACCCTGCAAATTATCATCCATTAATTTACGGAGGCGCTAAAGTACGTCCAAATATTATTGAGAACATGTGTGCAAGTATTTACCAAAAGTTGTTATTTCAATCGGCTTAAATCAGCTTCAGTTTAACCAAAAAGTGTCAAATTTCAAAGGCAAATAATGTATGAAGAGAGAAGAATACAGTGGGGCAAAATTAATGAATTATTTGTTGTAAAATTATTTCTATGAAATAATATTATTATATCACTTCACTGCTTTTGCTTAGTAAATATGTATGTACTAATAGCTTAAGAAACAAAAAGGGATACTTATTTCTATTATCGTATTTAAAAATTCGTGCATTCAGTATTGATAATATATATGTATATGGATTTAAGTATGAAATTAATAGTTTTGGAATACTTGCTTCCGTTTCCTCTTTTTATTCTTTCTGCTCTTGCGATGCTTTGTATAGATACTGATTATATAAGTTTTTCACTTAACTGATAGATGCAAAATTGTATGGCTGAATCTTTTCAATATTTAATATTTTTTAACATATTTTTACATAGTTTAGTATTCTAATTAATTAATTTAGCGATGGGTATGTATTGGCGTAGGTTATTAATTTAGCACAGTTCGTTTTTTAATGTGTTTAAAAACCACAAATAAAAGCAAAACAATATATAACAATCCAAAAATGGCGATCCGTGTTATACCATATAATACTTTTTGCATTAACATATTTGTGTTTTTCGCAACATTTTAACTAAAAATGTTTTATGAAAGGTTTTCTTCAAAAACCACTTTTCTTTCTTACACACAGTGAGTTTTTCCTTTCCATTTTTTCTCTATTTATTTGTTAAAATTTAGTTCTGTTTACTTTTTCAAAGTGGTTTTTGTAGCTAATGTCATTCTAACGTTAAAACCAATATAGGAGTTGTGAGCAATACTTGGGTGTCCTATATGAGTGGTTTAGGTATAAACATTATTGCTACTCCAACTAGTCTTTTTATTCATTATTTTTGCTGCCACTTAACTACATAAGCAAGTCGAAAATTAAAAATTAAGTGACTTTTCAACTACAAGAGTAGTGAATAATACAATTATATTGTATGTTTGTTTCAATAACGTTGCTCATATATGCTTATAAAAAATATCATTATTAGTTATAAAATTGAAAATTAAGGCTACAAAATAAAAATTTTCCTCGAGACGAGATTCGAATCTTGAATATTTTCCTTTATGACTAAACATTAAGCCGATGAAATCTTTGCAATTTTTGATTTTCTCTGTCGTATTGTTTTTTTACCTAATAATAAAAATAATTTTTCAAGTTAATTTTGATAAATAAATAAAAATTAAAAAAAGAAACTCATTATGTATTGAGGACATTTTCAACCGCTGACTTGATTCCTTTTGCTAAAAACTAAAAAGTTTTTATACCGATTTTGTCAAGTATGTCACAGACGAAATAGTTAACATATTTTCTAAATTTTTACACATTTTATACGCAAAACGCGTATCTACAGATTCCATTAGAAAACTGAATAAAAGATAGATCAGTGAAATATATGAAAAAAATATGATAAATAATAAAGAAAAATGATTGGAGCAAAAAGTATATATATTTTTGTTACATTGCAAACATATTTTGCTTCACAGTGCAACAAGTTTTTAAAAAACGAAACAAAAAAATTAGTTTTGCTATGATTCTTACACCTTTTAGCTGTTTGTACTATTGAGGTTAGTAGTAAATAACAAAAGGTAACAAAAAAATGAAAAATGTTGTTGAAAAAACATTAGGGTAGCATTTCGATAAATACTATTTTTTAATTAAATTAACTTAATGTTAAAATATAATTTAAGTGTTTTATTATAATTTGATTTATATTCATATACGTAAAGTTGATTTATTAAATATACGCTTAAAAAATATATGATAATGAATATAATTTTAATGCCATCAATTTATTTTTTAATTAAAATTATTCAAAAAAAATTATTTGTTTGTTATCTTTAATAAATGCTGTAGTTTTCATTAATTATTCATTTCTTAAATACATTTTTTTTGAATTGTTTTACCAATAAAATTGTGGTTTTTGCTATTAACTAATCAATCGCAACAATATTTCACATTAAGCAAATGTTTGTAACATACGCTTGAATAACAGTTAACCCGAAAAGTAGGGTTGTTGCGAGTGACAATTCTTATTTATTCGGCTTTTAATATTTTATATTATTTAAATAATATACTTAATTATTTTATAATTTATAATAATATAAGAAAATATTTTGGTGGTGTAGTTCACTACTATTCGAAACCTCCCCATTATTTAAATAATGGGGAACATGGTCTTTAAAGTTATATTATAAACTGATTATAAAATTCTACATTAAATCTACAGATGCTATGAATTTATAATTAAAGCTGGGTTAACTAAGCGATATTTTCACTCCATGTTTTTGTTATCTTAAAGGGGTTCCAGCACCTTTTTCACTTAATTCTATATTTTGTTAGAAATAATATATATTGCTTGCACTATTGATGTAAAATGGACTATAATGTACTGGATTAAGTGTTTCAGTATTTTAATATATTATTATTCATTAAAGTAAGTTTAGTTAAAAAAACAATAACAAAAAACTTCTAAATTTAAAATTGATTTTGTGTATTTGTAATATTAGCTAAAAGATTTTAATGATTAATTTTATTAGACACTGCAACTTCTAAAATAAAGTATCAAAAAAAAATATTCGTTTTATATTTACTTTTATATTTAGTAAAATATTTATTATCTATTTAATTAAAAAACCATTGGTGTTTTTTCATCTCATTAGTTTATAAATAATTGTATGTACATAAAAATGCATTCATGTAAAGCGTATGGTGACGTATACGCTCAGACGATCTTCGATAACCGTTATTGGTGAGTTTATTTTGACAGTTGTTTCAACAATTGCTCTAAGTTTTATTTTTTTAATCGCAGCGTCGTGGTCATTTGTCGAAGAATTTTCATAAATCCGCGTATAATTAACATAAAAGTGATAAAGTAGTTAATTAGTTTTTATTAACAAATTATTCATTCGACAAAATTCATTTTATTATTGTTTGAAAATGTGAAGTTTAAATTTGAAATGGTGTTAAAAGAAATCATATTATAAATATATAAATATTTTGAGTGATTAAGATTGATTAATACTTGTTTACGTATCCCTGCATTGTGTTTAATTTGTAATTTTATGAATTGTGTTAAAAAACTAATACTGTTAAGCATTTTGCACAAAGAACTGATTTTCTTAAGTCGTTTAATTATACACATACATATTTATGATGCAAAATATATTTCAGTGTAGCATTCTCAAAGTCTCGGTAAGTTTCTTATGTTTTATAATTTTTATTTAGTTATTTATAAGAAGAAGTTTTAAAAAAGCTTTTTTTTAATTTTGGATTAATAAGTTTTAAATCAAAATCTAATCTTTGTGAAAGCTTAGCATATATTTTTATATGTAAATATAATTTTAAAATTTTTCATGTAAGTATAATGTTCATATGTATACGTATATGTATATAGTATGCATATTCAATGATGTCAATGGAAGAAGAAATAATAAAATAAATGAATGAAAGAACATGAATAATAGGTGTCTGTCATAATAAGTGCTTTAAACACACGATTAACGAGAGTTTGGCAGTTTAAAACTAAGATTCTTTTCAGAATAACGGACATT